GTAAGTATCATTTATAAGTCGATATTTGTGTTTTACTCCACCTTTTAGAGTATGTGAACTCTTACTTGAAGTGACATGAAATTTAGAGATAGATGGTTTGAGAAACAGATCAGATTTAAATCCTGATTCTAATTACTCACTTGCACTTTAGAGTAATGAACAGAATTAGGACTTTTATATGCATTTGTAGGAGCATATGCACCGCCGCATCTGTTTCCTCTCCTTGTATTAATCTTTAGTGTTGCTATATTTATTTCTGAGGTTTAAATGATTTTTTAATGTAGGCGTGAAACACTATTCAGTGCCTCGAGAACTCTTTAGAAAAGTCTGATGAAATATGACAAATTTTGTCGGTCAGCAGTTTACAATTGCATTTCTGATTCAGGAATGGAGTTAAGCCAAACCATCTAAATGTGTCCAATATCTGTTCTGCCCTCTCATTAGCATGGCATTTGGCCTTTGGGCTGCATGCAGTTGTTACTATGTTTAAACTACTAAATATATAAATGATTAATAATGGTGTTTAAATAGCAATTTTAATGAGTATTTACTTTTATAATTTTATTTTTAACCCTACAGTGTATTTTGGTGTTGAATAATATATTGCTGCCTATGAAAGAGAGCATATGCACAGGGATCAAAGGAGTCTATAGAAAGTATTTAGAAAAGTAAATTACCTATCAACATAGCAGGAGAATAGCCGTTATCTCGAGAGCTACATTTCTGATGCAAATTTCCCATTTTATCTTCTTTTACTCCTTATTGCTTTAACCAACATCCCCTATGCATGCCCCACTTAAGGTGTTCAGTGGGTCTTATACTTGCTGCCATGCCAAACATGAGTGGTGTGCTCACAACCACTAAGGTTGTCATGGCAAAAGTGAATGCGGGGTAGAGATACCGAAAGAAGGAAAACTGAGACAGAGGAGAAAGAAAAGTAGGGGATGACTAAATCAATGCAAATGAAGAAGAAAGGAGAGAAAGGTGAAGTGGAGCAAAGGTGGAAGGAGTTGGGGAGAGAGAGAATCAGAGGCAGTATATGATTACGTTTACTCTTTGCTTGGACATACTTCCCCTGGCCTGTTACCTTTCATCTCCTATGTGGTTATAGACAAATATCATTAAATAATTTTAATGAGTAGCAGAGGTAACCCAGCAGTACACTTGACAGTATGTCCATGTAAAAAGTCCTGGGTTTGAACCCTAGCACTTCGAGGAAAGAAATAAGTGGGTAGAAAAGAAGAGCCATAGCAGTGAACATTGGTGGCAAAATGTTTGAATGTGGGTACTTCTAACTTAAGAACATGAGGTGTTCATTTTGATATGTATGTCTCTCTTACTTTGCTAAATGATGTTTTCTTTATTGAAGTTTTCAAGTATTTCAAACAACTGTTCTTATTAAGAGCAAGGTAAGATTTTGGACGAGAAAATTCAACTCTACAACCCAACAATGTTATTATCTTCTTTTGGTTTATAAAATACTCTGAATGCAACAAAGTATTTTCTCAAGCATTTAGATACAGTTCATTTCATCCCTTCATGTTTCACAAGCACTTCTTTAAGTTTGAGTAATTAATAATGATTATTCATTTATCATTCACAAAATGTCTTAAGTAATTCTTTTCCAAAATACTTATCAGTACTATATATTTGTATACATTCATAGTGACACCTAAAAGTAATTATTGACTTTGTCATGGTGTAGATAATTTTGTTAAGATCTGTAACACAACTGGATTATATTTATACTAATATAAAAAGTCTTAAGATGAAAGAAATATATGTATCATGTAATATCTGCAGGACTTTTTGCAGGTAGGAATGTAGAGTAAGTTAGCATTTTCATCTCAAAACTATCCTTGTTTCAGAACCATTTTTTTTGAAATATCTGATGCTCTAGTGAGGTTGATATTATCAGATTACCTGAGACTTTTAAGGAGAAAATCTATCGATGCAGTATTATTACTTGAGTACATTTTTGTCTAGCCTAAGACATGATACGATCCTCTAGAAACAGAGCTAAAGGAAGCTTGGTAGTATGCTACATGCACATAAGTTCTATGTTATCATTAGCTGCTCAAACTGCAGAAGCTTAAGCAGAATAAGTCTAAAGCAGAGGCCACTTAGCACTCTGTGTAACAGCATAGCTGAAAGTTCCTAAGTGTCAAGGGAAGCTTGGCTAACTGTTAACATTGTGATGGCTGAAGGCAATAGCATACATAGTGTCTGGCACCTGCCCCGTTTCTCTTACTTTGTGGACTTAAAATAGACAACAGACAGTATCTCCTTTGGCTAGTTATTTAGGAGGTGCCTAACGAAGGAGAGTTTACCTCTAGCTACAACACTATGAAAGCATTTGGAAACTCTACTTTCACTTCACTTTTTGGAGTTGGTTACTTGAATACAGCCTTGAAGTTTTTTGTTTGGCACACATCCATGTACAACACTACTGGTCTTGCTGCCATTCCAAGCTAGTACACGAACAAGGTATTTTGTCATTCCTGTGCTTCCCAGTACATACTGTGTTTTATAGGGCCTATGCCATGGTTTCATTCTAACAATCTCTGATAGAGAAGAAATCTTTGTTACTTTACAGTTTTATTCTAGTCTAACAATATATTTACTCCTAAAATATTCCAGTTTGTACAGGTTAGACTTAAAACATAATGCATTATCAATAAATTTCAGCCCAGGAGGGGGAAAATAAAAAAGACTAGCCTTCTGGGTGCATGGCTCCTCAGGCTTGGCTGACAGCCAGGGCTGATATTCTAGCTTTACTTTATAAGTTTCTCCAGCTGCTTTTTAAATCTGGAGAGGTAGCATCAGCCAGAAAGCTTCTAGTTTGAACACAGTATGCTAAATGTTTCTCTGTTCTCCCTGAGTAGTTGCTACTAAATGAAATAGCATGATGGGATTTTTATTCTCACTTTTTCATTAAAAAAAAAGAAATTGAGAGGGAATCACAGATACATCAAACTTCTCTGCAACAACTTTTGTAGGAATTAGAAACATTTATTTAGCATTTAAAAACACTGCTTCTGGCATTGAAATTAATTAAGAATTTGAAGTATTTTTTTTTTAAATATGATCATGGAATGGTAGTATTCTTTGAGGAAGAGACAGAATCAGTATCAAATATATATTAGTTTTCATGACAGACAAAATCTAAAATACTTGCTTCTCAGGTGAAGGTATATACATACATTATATATGAACATGTCTTTTTATTTGATTTTCAAATAAAAAGGCAAAAGTATGATCTATATAATTATATACAGATGGATTTCTCATTGATTTGTTAAAACTAAAATATAAATTTATCCAAAGTTTTTCTTTTATAAAAGAGTTACACCAGAATTGTATCTGTATTTTCCCATCAAGGATGACTTTCATGCTATAGTTTAAAAGCAGTACATATTACAGTTTTCTCACAAAATTTATCCCAAAATTTTCCCTGCCCATGTGCATGTTATAGAATCATAGCATCCTACCAGAGAATTCTGTATGGAAAAACAGCAACAATCATAGTATACTCAAATATCTATTCCTCTACACAGAAAAACACAAATGGCAAGGATACTTTTCTTATTAAACACTCTAATTTGGGGGGAGTACTGGTGAGACACATCGATCTTTCTGGTCAGTGATCTTATGTTCTTGACTTAAACTTCATAGAAACAAACAAAAGAAAATATGCATCAGTACCTAAGTTTCTGCTTATAGCTATTTGGCACAATTCCAGTAAAACAAATTAAAATAGTTGTTATGATCCGGAAAACAAAACATTAAAATCATTTGGGGGAAATTCATTGTCTCTTAGTGAAATTAAAGTAATTTTAGTAACTTCTGTCTTCACCAGTTCTTCTTATTCCAAAATATACAGTATTTTAACTACGAAGTTGACAAGAAAGTGGATAACTGACCCTGAATTACAGAAATGTATGAATATCTCTCTATAGAATTAATATTGAAAAAATTATGACACCATGTAAATGAAAACTCCTAGAACAGACACTGTGAAGGCATGAAAAGGAGCGTCTGACAGAGATGATAAACTCATTAAACTTACTCAGTGCTAATTGAAGATCAGAACACAGTTACCAAAATAAGCAACACACTGCTTTTGAACATTATTACAGAAACTGGAAAAGTATATTAGGAAAAGTTAAAAGGAAATAAATTTTTAATATTTTTAAACTTTGATTTCTTCTGACATAAGTATTAGAAACACTAACTAAGATCACCTTTAAACATCTCTCTTTTTCCAATGTGTTTTATGTAGGGGGAGTTTGGAAGTGTGTGTGTGTGTGTGTGTGTGTGTGTGTGTGTGTGTGAATACAGCACTGAGGTGTCGGTGTCCTGCTCACAATCCAGGATATGAGTATGACATATATTACTCTAAGATGTTTTCATTTCTAATAGGAGTTAATGGATAGCATCTACTTCCTGATAAATAGCTTATGCCAGTACTGTACAGTCTCAAATGTGTATGCCAGCTGTTTCTCTCAAAATTCCATCAAAACAGAGAACACCTATAAATCTTATGTCTCAAGGAGAAGAGTTCTCATCTTGGGCAACTGGCATGCCACATTCTAAGTAATACATACTTCTTAGGAAACATTTAAAACGCCAGCCACAGTTACCACTGAAGGCTGAGTTTGCAAAATTAGTGAGTCCAGTAGGAACATGACAAACCTGTTATCCAGGGAGGTTTTTTTGGTGCAAATGTCAGGGTAACTGTTTAAAATTAACCTGCTGTTGCAGCTCCTTTCTTACGGCAGAGAAATACGTTCTATATACAATGCAAATATAACTTCCACAAAGCATACTGACAGGTATATATACACACGCCAGAAAGGGAGATTGAATTTGGCTCTAAAAGTATCTGCTTCTATATAAATCTTTCACAAATAAAACTTTAGTGCATTTAACTTGTTTATGAAGCTAAGCCACACATACCCCGTCATTGTCAATTTCATCAAATTAGGACAGTAACTTACCTACAGAAGCATTTCAATATATGTTTTTTTTTTCTTTTGCTAACTTGAATTTATCCGGAGTTAGAAAATGAGATATCCAGAATTCAGGTTTACTTGGCTCCGCGTTAATTAGCGGAGCTTTCAGTTCGTGCCATCTGCCTCAACAGGATTCTGAGAGCACTCCTCAGCTCCGGTGCTGGTGTCTGGACCCTTCCAGCAGTCTTTTTATTTATACACACATTGTCCTTTTCAAAACAAGCAGCCAGCTGGAATGATTCAGACCTCTGTTCAGCACACCGTTAAAATGCAGCTTCCTTCTCGGACACGAGCATTACACCAGGGAGCAGACTGGGTACAGCAAAAAGGCTATGAGAACTATTTAATCACCGGAATACCAGCTGCTCCTGTCTGCTTCTGCCACTGCTGCTGTGCCTCTTGCTTAGCTGGAGTCGGTCTTTCCCTCCCTCCCTCTTTCTCTCATATCTCTAGAACTATGAAGGCAGCTCTGCCGGGTTATGATTGGCAGAAACAGCCAATTCCTTCAGCTAATCATCCTCAAGACTTTCAAGGACCTGAAGCTGTTGTGATGTCATCCAGGCAGTGGGATGTTACACATGAACACATTCCAGCAGAAGCTAATTCAGCAACCGGCTGCCTTCCTCTCACACAACACTGATTGATTAGATGTTCCTTGAGGATTTGGATAATCTTTCATTGTATAGTTTGAATATTTCCTACAAAATCCGAGAATAAGATTTCACTCTGAAGCTATGTCACTGTATCAAGTGGGTTAATAAAAGTTCATGTTGGGGCTTTCTGTTGTGAATATGTGCCAGCCAAAGAGTCTAATTTCAAATAGAACAAAAGCTAGCAATGAGCAATAGAAAACTTGGAAAACTATCTGTAAGCTATCAAATCTTGATGTTTATAATAGCATAACCATGTGTTATAAGTAAGAACAGATAGATATGTAAAATTATATAATGTTAATTAACTGAGGTAAAATCTGATTTGCTAAGGGAAAGTACATTTCTATTTCTCAAATTTTAAAATTACACATATAATTTTAAATATAAATATATAATACAAAATAAACACTTGTTTCAGGACAGAATAGAGCTGCAGAATATTCTCTACTCTAATCTGGTGTGTGTGTCTTCAGTTATAAGCAATACATGTAATGTAGGGGTAAGTGCAGTAAGAATACATGACTAGCGATTGAGGGGTGGAAGTAGTGGAGAAGCCGTTACAGCTTGTTTTATATGATGTCTTCCATATTCAGTATTATTGGTGTTAAAGTCTGTATAGCATTTGTCTATAAATTGCTAAAATGTTCATGCACAGTGAGTTGAGAAAAAGTTTATGTTTATAAAAGGCTTCAAGAAGTATTCAGGAACTTCTTACCTGCATGGCAAAGATGCATTTGGAGGTCAAGACAAAGTTTTCTTAGTGACGCCCATTAAAATTGAGAGGGATAAGCATATTGCAGATATGACTTTTATCAATATTATGATATAATATTATGAGGAAAATACCATGCCATGACTCAGTGTTGATAAAAATACATTTTAAATGCTGACTGAAACTTTCCATCTTCTATAGTTTTGTCTCTTTGGTTATGGTGTGGGGAATTGAACCCAGAACCTTTCAATTGCTAGTAAAGCATCTGCCACTATACAAGATCCCAGCGATCATTTTGCTTTTTTGTTGCTTTTTTTAAATTTTTTTAATTTAATTATGTTTTTTGGTATTGTAACTTTTTGGAAAATTGTGTAAGTAAAAAAGGAACATTACTGCAAAATACTGGAGGTCATTACACTCTTGCTGTATTTCTATTTCAAAAGGCAATATAGAAGCAGTGTCATATAAATGATTGAACTTAATTAAATGATAGCTAAGTGATTCTCATTGCAAAACTATCACATAAAACCTTGAAGCAGGATTCACAGCCTTGGCAGGGTTACGGAGATGGACAGTGTAGAATCCTAACAAAGGAAACCATGTGATCAGGTACTTTCTTTAACTTTTACATGAAGACACATATCTATTTCTCAAGTGAAATTAATAACATTTGAGTATTTGACAATGAAAGTGTTAAAATGTTAGTTTTAAGACATACAATGGCATTTATTAAATATTAGTTATTGAAAAATATCCAAATATAAGAAATTAAAATTGCTCGGAAAGAAACCTACCACTTAACTGACCATTTCCTTTTATTAAAACATAAAGTAAATGTTCAAAATAGAGTTAACACAATATGTATAAGTACAAATAAATTTAAAGCTGCCAAAATTTTCTTTCTTCTCTTGGCAAAAACTGGAGAGATTCAAATATCTAGATTAATTGATGAAAATAAAAACATCCCTAAAATAGTTTTATATGAAATTTTCAGTAAATTGCCCCTTATATTGTATTCTCCAATTATTACAAAGGAACTTAGTCATGAAAGTGTTATCTGTTTTGATTTTTTAACTTGTCTTGTTCATGAAATAAAGATAATGACCACAGACTTTGTGATAAGAACATGTTATATTAGACAAAATATATAGAGAAATCACTGGCCAAAGCATTCAGTGTTTGTTTGTTTTTTTGTTTCAATCACAACCTAAATTCTACAATTGGCTTTAGACTTGAGTCAGATATGCCATCTATTCCAGTAGTTAGATACAGTGTGCAAACAGTTGGCTTACTACTACAATTGAGTACCAAAAACTAGATGCTCTTAATTTTGTTTGACACCATGGTAAAGGCAATCTAATTTTTTTCCTTATTTACTAAGTCTGGATTTAAAATAAGATCTCAGCAGATCTTTTCCAACTTTAATTCAATATATTGTGTGAGTCAGGTTTGTAATCACGCACAGGATGATTTTCTAGGTACTTCAGCAAGATGCAAACTCTTTAACCAGCTCACAATCTCTGTATCACCTTACTTTACCTTATATATAGCATTGAAATACTCAGTGACAATTCACAAAACATTAAAAAAAAGTATGTCTTAAACATCATTTTGAAATTAAAAACCTGAAAATTTGAACTCCTTGTTTATTATACAGTTAAAAATGAAAAAAATACAAATAATAACAGCCTAATCTACAGCATTCTAATACTATACACGTTCTAACTTGCTTACATCAATGTCTTTAGTAAAACACTAAACAGAATCTAAGTCTGTAGACCTAGCTGGTCTGAACTTCCTATGTAGACCAGGACGACCCTGTTGTGCCTCTTGAGTGCTGGGATTAAAGGTTTATGCTACCACTGGTTCAAAGCCTTTATTCAAAACTAAGGTCATTAGTTTTGTTTATTTGTTTGCTTTGTTTAGTCGATTTATTTGAAGGTGAAATTGAGAAATTAATCACAGAATATTCAAAGACTTCATTATAATTGTAAAAAATTAAATGATTCCAAGAGTTTACATCACATGTTTCTTCTGATTATTATGATGCACCTAACCCTCAAGAGACTGGAGGCCTCTGGGAGTTTAGAGGTCAGGTGGGGTGGGGGGTAGGGGTGGGGGTGAGGATGGTGGTGGGGGTGGAGGGTGAGGACATCCTCATGGAGACAGGGGTTTGGAAGGAGGTATGGGATATGGAAGAGTCGGAGGGTGGACCAGGGGTTGGGGTGGGGATAAAATATAGAGTATAAATAAATAAATAAATAAATAAATAAATAAATAAATAAATAAATAAGGATAATAAAAATAAGTTTAAATGTATCCTTTTAAATAAATTGAATTTTGCATGTACACATAATAATTAGATGTTCATACTTTTTTACTTGTTCATACTGTTTTCACTTCTTTTCTTTAACGCTCATCAAAATTAGCAGTTTGATGTGAGAAGAAATTATTTAATTTATAGTTTTCACAATTTTGACTGAACATAATTAAAGCAACTGAAATATTAACCCAATCAAGTTTATGAATACCGGAAAAATAATAAAGCAAATAGATTTCAAAGCACACTTGAGTCATGTTCATAGTTAAATATTTCAGGAGAGAGTATTTCTAATTGGGAAGAGGGACTAATATAAAAACCATTTTAAAGGATAAAAAATAAATCCCCTCGTGATACGAATTATTCAGATCAGAACTCTAGTGAGGGTTATGGAGAATCCATCATTGTTCCTTTTCTGTCAATAGATTTTTGGGGAAACATGAGGACCAAATTTCATTACTTTTATTCAGAAGTGTCCTACTGCAGATGTCAGTGCCATTGTGCATCTAGAAATCTTTTTAAAGGTTACTAAAAGAAGGAAATAAACAGGAACCCAAGTTGAGGAGATATCTTGCCAGTATTACTTAAGAACCTCGTTTTCAACAAAATCAGCATGCTAATGCCTTAAAAGAGTCATTTGATAATATGGAGCTCCAAAGGCCATGAGGAAAGAAACAGGTGCAGATGACCGATTCTAGTTTGGCCAACAACTGCCTATAGCCAGAAGAATTTTTAATAAATAGCAACTGTTGGTCTAAGCATCATTGAATCACAAGAATATTTGTTGTGGAATAAAATGATCCAAGTGTGTCCTGGGGTAAGGTAAGGGAGCCCAGGAGAAATTACATTTACAATTATTCTCAGGTCTAAGTTTTCCTTGTGAGGCTTCACAAAGCTCCTGAAATTTCATAAGGTACATTCATCAGGCCACGGTTTCCTTGGGAATCTGTACCATTAGAGCAGTTTTGAATACAGAAAGCACTCTGTAACTACAGTAGGAAGCTTTACTTTATTTCCTACTGAATCTGCATTTTCCAAAAGTTTATTATGATTTAGTGGCTATTTTCTTTGGAGTTAGACTACACAAGTCATGCCATTTTATATTATGTACTTTAAAGTCCTGAATTTTCCAAGTGAGAAAACTACATGGAAGCCAGAATTCTAACATTAGAGTAATAAATTTGATAAAGCCTTGTGTGTCAAACAGGGCATTCTATTTCATCTGTTAGTAAATTCCCTTTATCATAGGTGTCCCAACATCATTTGTTTTCTGTCTGTTCGGGTGTTTTGGGAGCAGGCTTCTCATTTATGAGTTCCTCCAGCTAATATACTGATCAGCATGGGAATCTTCATTTTTACCAAGTCTTTGTAAATCAGGATTTTGCCAGTTATCTTGAATGCCTCATTCTAAATTACCATCACTCATAAGGAATGCGCTAGCTCTTCAATGTCCCTCATAGTTGACCTTAGCATAGTGTGATATATGTATGTATGGTGTGGGTATGAATGTGAATGTATATGTGTGTATATGTGTACATATATGTGGGTTTAGTTTGCATATATACATATACATATATATATATATGCTGTGTGTACGTGTGCATAGGTTGTGTGTGTTTGTATATTTTGTGTACATTTATGTTTGTATATGTCATGTGTATAATGTATGTTTGTATGTGTCTGTTGTCTGCATATATGTTTGTGTGTGTGTATATATATATACATGTGTATACATAT